TTAAAGATTTAGACGTAGGTATGTACATAGTTCTTATTATATCACTAAAAATGTGTAAATTGGAAAATCCAAATAAATGTGCAAATACGAGTAAGTCATCATTTATCATTTATCACTGTTAGAATATAACTACTTCTAAAATGTCCCAATATCTTTTCCAGGTAATCTACCTGAAATAACAGTGAATCACTTGCGTCTCTTCCCCTCGTAATTCCCCATATCGTATTGATTTTTAGCTCTACCTGGAACTAAACGACGAATCAATACGTAAGAATAGTTACTCGAAATTAGTTTAACGCCTGTATTCACAAACATTAGGCTATGAAGTCTCACAGTGCGCGTAAACGCACAGGATGGCACACGAACCAATCACAGAGTTCTATTCAACGCTGTGTGTTCGATTTGCTGCTTCAAGCATCGTTTCTGAATACGGTCGATAATCTTATAGGAAATTTCAAAACGTATTTTTATATCTGAAAGGCATTTAGAGTTGGGAAAATGTCGATAGGTAAATTATCGATATTTAAATAGTAAACATGACATAGGAGGAAATATGATTATAACATAAAAATAAATAAATATGCCAAAAAGTGCATATAAATAAATTTTATGTGTATCTCCGCNTTATGTGCAAATTTAATCATAAGTATTATGAAAACTTCACATCTACCAATTTTTTTAGGATTGTTAGTAGCAGTTTATGGTTTCTAATTACTTAATGCGTGTGATTAGGTACGATCACGTTGATAACTAATTAAGTAGTAGCTATTTAATAGGATACAAATAGCCCTTATTGTGCTAATTAGTAATTAGTACATAATGCGACATACGATCCTGCACGCGCAGTATGCATAGTACTCGCGTGTCACTACGAGCGAAACCTATCATGTTTCAGGTATTTGATGACTGTAACTTGGCTGGTCTATAAATTGGATCGATCGATATACCCGATCTAAGAGCTGGTTAATATAGATTGCAATTTACATTGCAGGTCAAAATCAAACAGGCATTAATGTTTGCCGTGGGTTTGAAATTGACTTCAGGCAAACATTAACGAGATAAGTAGCGTATACCTACCTACAAAGAATTTCTAGTCTCTACTAATGCTATGTTATGTAGTCATTTACTTTAAGTTAAGCAATTTCTGATTCTGATAGTTGGAAAACAAAAAAATCTTTAATGATTAGATTTTATAATCATTACAGTATTTTATTGTGGATCGTTGCACCAATGCTTTATTTATAGACTTGTANAATTGACTGCAGGCAAACATTAATGAGATAATAAGAGTATACCTTCAAAGAATTAAGGGCGTCTATACAATATTCAATTTAATCTAGTCTCTACTAATGCTATGTTATCTAGTCATTTATTTTGAGTTAAACTATTTCTGATTCTGATAAGTACTTGGAAAATAATAAGTTTAATTATTGGATTTTATAATAAATACAGTATTTGATTGTGGATCGTTGCACCAATGCTTTATTTATAGACTTGTTGGTACCGGTACCTACGTAGCCACTTCACTTGCATTTTTACAACCGGCTTCATATGAATGTTAATTGCTAACACAATTAAAGTTCTAAACTAGTTGTCATAGCAAACGTCCCGTCATAACTCAGGCATTAGCGGCAAATATTACACCCGGAGCTATTAAACGGCAATTAGAGCGTCAAGTGGAGTCAGACATCAGCCGGATTGGGCGTAACGAGGGTCGAGACTCGAGATAATTAGATTGGCTAATGCAATTGCTGTATGACCTTTGGCTGGGATGTTATAAAGAAAGTGTGAATGTTTAAAATGCTAACTTAATATACGATTTTAAAAATTCCTACATCTTTAAGGACTGGACCTTTTCACCTTAACTGCACCAAAATTATTTTTGTTTTTTTTTATGTGACAGGAGGCAAACTAGCAAATTATCCTGGTACAAACAGTTTTTGTGGAACAGGACCCGTCTTTGTGGAAATCCTTAGGGTTCTTTGTCCAGCAGTGGACGTCTTTCGGCTGAAACGAACGAACGAACAAACAGTTTGTACTTACTTCCTAAATAGTGAGCTATGTAGAATTTCGTTAGATACCTGCTTGGCAATACATACAATTAAAACGAAATACTCAGAAAATACATTTGAATCGTCCGATGAATAATTATATTCGAACAGTAATGTTGATTCGGTTACTTATCAATAATATTATCGCTGTGTAGGTCAATAATAATATATTGACCTATACTTATTATAAAACGTTTCTGGCGTGGGTAATAATGTTAATTCAATTGGCTATTCAGACTTATAATAGGAAAACATCCATGCTCCTTTCCTCTAGAGATGAATAATTGTGCTTTAAAATTATATATTATTGTGCTATAATTTAACACAATGTATGTTATTTTTAATGTGAGCTACATCATCAGTGTTTAAAAAATCAATTTTGACATTTCCTTAATCAAATTAAACTTCGTCATACAAATAAGGAAAATCAAGGATTATTTTTCCCAGAAGCTGCTATTTTCACTATTATTCGGGAATTTACAACTAATGTCTGACATGGTACAAACTATGGCACACTGGCACATCAATCTAAACACCATGGGCTTTACCTACCTATAAGGGTGATTTTTGCAATAAAAATGCATAGTCTAATGTGCTATCGTCCGTACTTCATAATTACGTCATTTTGAATCATTAACTAAGCACCGGAATTATGGCCACTAACAAAGGAGTGGGTACCATTTTGTAATTTACAAAGCTATTGTTAACAAACCTCGCCCTTTTGTTAGATTCTGTTGATGAGACTATGCATTAACACTATTTACACTTTTTACACCAGTGATTGTGCTGGTACTACATACAGTATCAAAGTAGACACTGTGTACTATTTAGCTGGGACAAGTGTTATTTTGCAATATCGATGTGTAGGTATTTGATGTGATGTCGATACAACAAATACAATAGTTGCACAACTGTGGACGTTGATGAAAGATACTATTAATGGTATTGCAATATTTAATTAAAAACTGTTCTTAATGATCAGCTATTTATAAATTATAAGTTACTCTAATCGAATTTTTAATTTACAAGGAAATTAAACATGATTGACAGGTATTGCTTTCCTCTCTCCAATGTTACGTATTTCCTAACCACTCTTTTTCATTATTTTGTCTTTTCGTTTTATACCATCATCCATTTCGATTTTTTACTGATAGTTAATTTATGTTAAAAATTAGAAGTAAACTTAGGCTCTACCACTCATTAATTACTTCACGAAATGACTTAAAGTGACTTTAAGTCATCGTACGAAATTCGTCGTCGCATCGAATTTACTTCATGTTTATTTTGTTTCTTTGCTTTATATTGCAACCTGTTTCAACAGTAAAGGGTTTACTTATTTGAATTTATAATTCTCGTGTATTCAATAAACTTTTGCATACTTGTAATCACAGCGACTTCGTNGGAAGTGTAATATTTTATTTGGGAGTCACAGAACTCTACATTTAGTAACAATAGGCAAAGCTATAATTAATTTGAATGTGTTGCAGATGGACATGGATGTTGTAAACGAGCATATGTTTAATTATTATCAATAGCCCGGTTGTTATAAATACCAGTCTATTTTTAGCGTTTGCTGCAAACTGTGACGTCACGAGCAGTAACAACTAACAGCCGATCGCTTTGTATACTTTACGTTAAACGCCCGTTCAGTTAGTCAACGGAAAATGACGCTTTTGTTCTAGTTTCCTCAAATTCGTCATGCTTTTAATGTCTTACTATATTATAATAGTTTGTTTATATACATAATAAGCGAGTGTTTTTCAAATATAAACGTATAATATAGGTGATATAAAAATTATAAATGTTATGATTTTATTAACGCTTCGAAATTGTACATTCAATGCAAGTGTTTATTCTTTAAACAATTTTCAAATAAATCTATGATCGCATAGTTTCAGGACGAGAGAAAAATGTTAACGATGTGATTCAATTTCCTACCAAAAAAAATTAATTCATAGCCAGGTAGGTATATCACATGTTTTTACAACATAGTAGTCTTGTTTTTGTGGCATCAATACCCAGAGAACTGTGTCACTTCATAAATTGCCAACAGCGCATTGGTAAACAAACCAAAAGTAGAGTTCGTGCATATTATTTGTGTTCCTGTAAAATTTTCAATACTGACCTTTATCGATGTTTAATCCAATGTTACAATTTATCGATATTTAATTCGGCTTTTGCGGTAAAAAAATTATTCAGAACTTGATTTCGCAAGGATTTTCTTGTTAACATAAAGGGCATGGCATTATCGTTCGTTGACCTTTCATATCTCGTCCGTAAATAGTATGGACAGCCAGCAGGCTAGCTGCATCGGCTGCAGCTTGTTTACGTAAACGCATTGGTTGCATTGCATTCAAATGCTTGCCTCTGCATAATGCAGTACGCACGTCTGCCACTTTTCAACTTAATGTATGCGACAGGAATAAAATTATGTATCTCTAGAATTGTAAAGATTTTTCGCTTTTCAATATTGAAGTAAACAAGGCCGATAGTGGATTTATTTTTAATGTTGTTTGTTTTGCAAGATTTGCTTTTATCGCAGTTGTACTTGAGTGTAAGTAAATATTTTAATGCCTAAGTAAATGGTGGTCTTATCGCTCGAATCTGCTCTTCCAAACGTCTCAACATTAGAACTATTTTTAATAGACAAATCAAATGACATGTTTTGACTCAGAATCTGGGTGTATGCCAGTTTTTTTGTGTATGTCCGAGAAAAAATAAGGTTTTCCGATGTCAATGCCATTTAATTTGGCGTCATGGAAGTAAAAAAATAAAAATAACTCGCAAAGGAGGTAGCGGCACGAATGCATTTCTGAGAAATGAAGAATGACGCTATATTATAAGAAACAATCACAAGGAAAACTCATTGATATTCATTTTCTAATAATTTATAACAAAATAGTTTACATATTGATATTTACATTAAATAAAAACATTAAAAATACTCACATCTATTAAACTAGAGCAAGTAGTTTTCATTTTCACCAAACTCTACCTCGGAATATGAGTGAACGTGTTGCACTAAACACAAAACACATCTATTGCACAAAGTGCATCGTATTAGAAGATAAGCGTTAAACTTTCGAAGTCTACCGGAATCTAAAAAATGCGGCGTTCGCGCGCCACCGCTCCGGCGGACACAGCATTTTTCACTTTTCACCAACAAACCACTCGCTCCGCCACTTGATCACTCGTAAAATCAACGTTCACGCCACTTTTGACATTTCCCGTATAACAAAACACATGTAGCGACTCTAATTCGGATCGACAGCAACTTGGCAAAACTACACAAAAGTGAATAGCTACCACCTCTCCACACTTATACGTATACGTAATGCGGACTCGAGATATCGCGTGGAACAAGGACGGGCTGCGTCGCTGCGGTCGGCACTGCAAGGCGGGGGAGGGAGTGGGGTATATTTCGGTTTGTTGCGCTTTTTATCCGGTATCCCGTTTGAGAATCTGTGGCGAGGTGTAGCGCGGTCCGCGTCGGTTGGCCAGCGCTGGTGGTCATCCTGTATAACTGACCTCTATAATTTTATCTGAATGCCCTTATTGTAGTCGGTAAAACAAAAATAAACACACGTTTGGTAGAGTTACAAATATTTAGCGGCACATAACACAAATAGTTAAAATTTGAAATGAACTCTTCTTTGTAGATATTTCCACAAACAAAATTATTTTAAATATTTTTTTATTGAATTTTAAATAAATTTAAAAAAGCAATGATTTGCAAGCTAAAATTATAACAAAAAATACTGGTAAATGGATAAACACCACATTGTATCATGAATACGTGTTACTTAAGTAAATATCGATAAAATGTTGTTACCAAAATAGACAACACTATTTTTGGGGCAACTTTGCCTGGGATTTTTAAGCATGCAATCTTGCTTTTTTCCTTGTTTTGTGTAGACTTAAGCAGGTAACTAAAACTTTATGTAGAGTTAAAAAAGTCCCTGGATATTTGTTTTGACAACATTTTATTAAGAAAGTGCTTCTCTTTAAACAACAATATCAACAAAACGTAAAACAGACCCTTAAGTAATAAAAACAAATGAGGAGGATCAAATCGGTTCAGCTCTACATTTACCACCTTTTGTGTGAATATACATTAAAATATTCCCTTTTAACTTTCAATCCTTTATAATCCTTGTAGTATGTAGTGCGTATTCATTGAGTTAAAAGAACTTTAAGAGCTTTACTAAAATACGTTTGATTCAGCATTCATAACATGACAACTGAATTAATTATGATTTCAGTACCTACTTACATACTTTTATTCGAGGAAACTTCAGCCATTTCTATTGGAATACTAGCTGACCCGGCGAACTCTGTTCCGCCTTAAAAGCAATAAATAAGCCATCGCAATTTTTCCTTATTTGCTCACCGTTTAGACTCTTTAGACCTACCCTGGACTACGCCAACATTTCAAAACCAAAATCAGCTCAATCGGCCCAGCCGTTCTCGAGTTTTAATCAGACTAACGAACAGCAATTCATTTTTATTTATATAGATTTTTATTATACTACCTACAGACTACGATAGTTTTCAGGAATTTGATTAATTATTATTGGTGGATTTCATTAATTTCATATTATTTACTTTGTGATTGTGTACATACAAGTATTTCGCAATTCTTTGATATATCGTAAAATCCTACTGTTATTATGGTGACAGGTTTTCATCGTATTCGTCACTTAAGAAAGGGTTACATCATCTATCTAACGTCGTCAGACGTACTAATCGTCACCTATTCTATGAAATAATTGTCCATTTTTGGAGTTCGTCAAATCGTGATACGGTGGTTTTTAATATAGATAACGGCATCTTCCAAAAGTAACGGACGCGCCGCGAGTCAAAAAAACGATTTATAGATTTAAAGGCCTATTGAATGGTACTGCTTGAGCCGTAATGCCTATGTGAGGTCATTCGCAAGAGGTGAAGCCTCTTAAAAGAACAAACAACTTGTATTTCATAAAGTCAAGTCTATTATTTTATTATTTTTATTGTAATTCACTTGCATTTAAAGTAAAATAAATAAATCACGCCACATAGGCAAAAAGCTGTTTTTACAAATTAATAGTTAAAAAAAATTAAAACGAAAGCTTTGCATTGGTGGAAACTAGTCAGTCAAAAAACATAACCCTCCCGTCGCAGTCGTATATAAAATAAAGTATAAAAATTTTAAAACTTTATAACATCCTACTGATGTTAGGTAATTTTTGATTCCTTAAAAAATAAGTGTATTTTACTGCAGTGGCAGTAGGTATGTAGAGCTCTTTATCTTCTTATAGAAAATAAATTCCTACCGGCTTATTTCATACCAATTTGCTTCAAATAGAATTTACATAAGTAACAGAAATAATAGTTAATTCTAAAAATACACATTATGTAACTTAGTACTTACTTAAGTAAGTGTAAAAAACTACAATGCCTACATTAAATAAGTCTTCACCTAACCCTAGAAGACGCGACGTTTCATATAGCTGGTACTTTGCCGTTCTCGTTGAACAGGAGTTCCAAATCGGTCAAAGAAATGTTAATAAAACAAAGCAGAATACATAATTCATTTATTGTAATAGCTTCTATCTGATTCTAGAGCCTTAATTAATAAGGATATGTAGAAAATGTCCTTCGTTGCCTGTGTAGGGTTTATATAGTTTCAGAACTTTCCGAACAAAAAAACAGTACGAATGCTACCCTAAGATAATGGATGTAACGTTTTTAGCTCAAAATCAACGGTAATATGAGACGCAAGATGATGATGATACATTTTTCAGAAATGTAACTAAAAATTGTAGAAGTGATTGACACGTGAGAAAAAGCAATTTCATTTATTACTTACTTCGTCACAAAAAGGACATTATGATTCATTTCTCTTTTAAGATTTTTCCTGTGGACTTTCTATACACAGTTATTGGGCACACATTTAGAACTTGATGCTCTCTAGAATTCGCAAATAGGTACCTACTTACCTATATCCTGCACGCTAGTGAAGGCGAAGAATTGCCAATTTCAATCAAAAATATTATATCTACATCATTGCCAACAACTTTCATTATTAAAATCATTGCCTAATTACTTTTTAAATATTAAACTAATCAAAATCCAATCGCACGCGACAGCCACGAGCCCGTAATTAGGTAGTCAACAGCACATCTGACTGTACATTTTTGCAGCAAAAGCGTCTTTATTACAACGGAAGAAAACGCTACTATGTTAAGCTTGAAGTGCCACAATCTATACCACATGCGCGCGCGTCGATTTCACGCGCGTCGCGGATGCCGGCACGCGGCCTTCAGGGAAAGAACAGGTAACGCCAATATTATACCTATATAGAGTGGTAACTCAAATGGTATGGCTAGACTCGAAACCTAGAATGTCCTAAGCAACGCGGGAATTCATGTCACTTAGCAACAAGCTTAGTTGACTGTTCTAAACTCTACATTACTCAAGACCGGTCTTCAGCAGGTCCGGTCTTTGTGGAAATCATTGGGGAGGCCTTTGTCCAGCAGTGGACGTCTTTCAGCTGAAACGAACGAACGAACAATATTCAACTAGACACAGTGAAGAGTATCTAAAGAAGCTTTTTAAAATTCGTAAAGGGAATACACTAGGACTTTGAATATAAAACCCTTACGTTTATAACTACATCCAAGTTAACTGACGAACATTATAAAGCGTGGCTGCGCGTGCGTCCCAGCCTTACGCGCAGGCGCAGCAGTAAAGTTTATCGGCGCGATAGCTACGATCGGCGTTATATGGGTCGGTGGCTACTGCCTGCACTTGTGTTTGCCTGCCGTGGGAAACTACAGTTACAGACTTTGTAAGAAAATCTGGAAATTATCTAAGTACATAAAAAAAGGAACGACCAAGATCTGTCATAAACTTTCATTGTGGTAAAATTGATAGCGTTATCTACAGGCTAATGGATGCTTAGGGGTACGTCATACGTACCTATTAGGGGGATCCTTGGATGCATGAACCCAATATTGAACATAACCCTTTTAAACGTACTGACGTAGGTACGTTCTTTCTCCTGTCATCCGCTTTGAACTGGAGGGTCGAAGTCGAACCTTAACTTCGAACTCCTCCTATGTTCTTCTGATGAAATTCGTTGCGGGGTTTTGTGTCGCAAATGCCTATCTATTAATTAATAAATACCTATTAATTTATTTATTTATTTAACTTTCTAAAAATTTTGTTACTTAGGAATATTACATGAATGCTCTCAGCTCTAATAGTTCTCGAAGGCACACAGATAAAAGGTGAAGCAGCTGCGTGTCCTAAACAATTTAGATAATCTTTATTTATTTAATAGTACGAGTATGTGTAAGACACACGTAAATAGAATTGATTCTATTAATTTGGAGTCCTTTGCAACCAAACATGTAAGGTTCACAAACCACATTTTCGATGGCAACTCATGGTAGACATAGGTACTGATAAATCAACTGATGACGACTGAAAAAAATGTCGATCCGCTAGTCAACCGGCCATTTCCTCTTTGCACCTACACCGAACTCAAACGGCGACATTACAAAAGTAATAGTAGAAAACTCCTCTACAATTGTTTCAGAAAACACTTGTGTAAACAGCATTACAATTTGAGGCAGTGTAGCGCGAGTGTGCGCGGGCGGCCAGTCCGCCTCCGCTCCTTATAAGGAACACTTATTGGTGGACTTTTTCGATTTACGGTTTTTTTTCCGTGATTTTTCCGTATTTTTCTTATACCTTCAATTAAAATATAGATTTTTAACCATTTTTAATCAAATTTCTTGAAAATAAACGCGTTTTCAAAGCTTTTAATGCGCAATAACATTTTTCAACGACTTACTCGCGTAATCCGACCGTATGTGACGAAAAAAATCCAAAAAAGCCGTGTAAAATCGAAAAGTCCCGCCAAAACCAGGATTTCGTGACAGTGAAGAGTGACAGTCGGACAACCCGAGCGGTTTGAGCAAACTGTGCGCATACTAGTTTGTTCGCCCCGGCTCGTGTCGTTGACTATCACAGCAGCTACTATCACCGTCCCTAACGCCCGATATCACCGTGAAAATGGCCGCCGAGGACGCGTCCTGATTGACTGCTCGAGACGTGTTTTTCCAGTGAGTTGGTAAGTCAATTGCTATAAGTCCTAAAGTCTGTTAAGGGCGGATTGCAGTTTTCAGGAAAATAACCTCTGAAACGTTTAAACTAAGAATTTCGGTACAAAATAGATAACGGAGACATTTTCTTAGATAGAGGCTAGATTTGATTAATGATGAAAAAGAGATGAACACATTTTCACCTCTTTTTCTTACTTATTGCATGTCATACCCTTTAAACCACAATATGCGATAAGTATAAGGAC